TCCATGACTAAGCCAATGCGGCGCTCAGCAATCCCATTTTGCTGAGGGGAGTCCGGAAGCGTGACAAAAGTCCCGCAGGAGGTCGGAGGAGAACTCACCACCTCTGTCAAAGTGCAGACGCAGGACAGGAAGGACCGCACGGAACCGCTCGCGGAGCTGGAGACGGACTGCGCGGATCCAAGAGATCAAGACATCAACGACCTGACCCTTGCTGCGCAAGGGGAAGACCGTGGTGTACCGCGTGTAGTCGTCAACAACCAGCAGAAAAAAGCGCTCCCGGCCCTATCCACTGATGCGGGCTGGGCCCCACACGTCCATGTGGAGCGTCTGCAGAAGAGTAGTCGTCGGGGGAAACGAGGAGTGAGGAGCGGCGCGCTGCCGCCCCTCGACGCAAGGAAGGCAGGGCAGGGCAGGCGAGGGCGGGAGGGGAGGCAGAGACCTGGGAAGACCAGAGACAAGGAGACGGGAGTGCATGCCACGAAGGCTTGGCAGGGAGGGGTGACCCAGGCGGTGGTGCCACAGAAGAGTCTGGTGCGACAGGAGGCGACACGAGCAAGGGGGTGCTACCTCACCTGACGCGGACACCTGAGCAGACGCAGCTACCTGAGGAGGCTTGGTAGCCAGTGTGTACAGACTCAACCCTGGCCGACGAGTGAACGTGGCCAGGTGACGACCCGTCCGTGTACACGTGCAGATCGACACACGCTGACCTCCAGGAGTGGTGGTAGTGACTATCGCATCCTGGAGGGCAGCGGTACTCACCAAGTTCGTAGAGAACGAGGGGAGGTGAAGACCTGACAGTGAGCCGGACGGAACCGCCGGACACGGGAGGACAGTGGAGGAACCGGCCACGACCGGGCCCCCGGAGGGGTCAGCCAATTGGATCGGGACAGGTGCAGGGAGAGGAGTGAGAGTGGTGCTGTCACGAAAGAAATAGCGTGAGGCACCTGAGTCCAACGTGAAGGTGTGCAAGGCCTCATCAGGCGCAGTACCAGGGAGAGTACCAGACTCACTAGCACCTAGAGCAGCAGCCGCTATACCTGGGTCAGGTGGCACACACCGGTAACAGTCACCCTCAGCACTAACAGACAAAGCATACATAGCAGAAAGGATAACATCAAAGTCTTGGTCAAAGATAGCAACTCCAGACCTAAGCAAATCCGCCCAGCGAGGGCGCTCGACCTCGTCACCAAACTCATCACGCCAAGCATCGTCGAGCCGGGAGAAGCAGCGGTGCTGAGTGTGAAGCCTCCCGCATGTCTGACCAGCACGGTGACCCGTGCGAATGACATACGGGCAGCTATCAATACCCCCAGACGTCCCACGATGAAACAACCACCCACGAAGCTGCTGGGGCGACTGGGTCTCGCTCCGATGCTGCTGCTGCTGCCGCTTGCCACCTCCGGGACCTCCATGCCGAGCTCCAGTCCTACCGCCACCAGTCCCGCCGCCGCCACTGCCGCCACTCCCACCGCTGCCTCCACCGCCGCCACCAGAGCCCCCACCCCCGCCACCAGTCCCACCACCGCCACCACCTCCACCGCCACCACCTCCACTGCCTCCACTACCTCCACTGCTGCCCCCACCACCACTCTCGCTGCCCCCTCCACCACCCCTGCCATCCTTGCCCTTGCTGCTGCGGTGCTTCGCACTAGCAGAAGCAGCTCCGACGTCCTCAGGACCAGGGACGTCTGCAGCAGCAGCAGAGGCGTAGGAGGGGGCAAGGAGGGAGGGGGAGCACCCCTCAAAGAAGGGCGTGTGCGGAGTGCCACGAGCAGCACCTACAGCAACTGCACTAATCTCAGCTACGAGGAGGTGCTCCTCGAGTAGGTCAACAGTGAGGGAGGTGGGGTCAAGTGAGAGAAAGTGGTCCCTAACAGAGCGAAGAGAGTCAGGGAGGCGAGTGACTATGAGTAGAGGGTGATGAACATCGGGGGTGGGTTCCTGTCAAGGAACTCAGCAGGGACGGTAGCTCGGTAGCGAGCGTCACTAGCGCGCTAGTGGAAAACAAGGTCCTCTACCGTGGCAAAGGCTGACAGCTCGGGGAACAGGTAGGGCTGAAGCATGCGGCCTAGAGCAGTAGTGGCAGGCGAGGAGTAGCGAGCGACTACAGTGTCGTACAGTGCCTTTGCTGTCCTGTGCTGTCCGAAGTGAGCGCATTTAGCTAACGGCAGGTGGTTGCGAATGGCTACGCGGGCAGCAGCGTCGTGAGTAAGCCACTGTGAGCGAGTCGCACTGTCTGCTGTGGCGGGAGGGGCAGTAGTGGCGCTTGACGCTAGGTCAAACAGCGAAACACTGTCTTTAGAATCGCTCAGTAGGTACAGCTGCAGATCGTCAAGCCATGTGTCAAACTGAATCGGTCTGCCCTCATGATCAAACGCAAGAACTCGAAGCGAAGCCATATTGGCGCAGCACGCAGGAGCAGCAGTGGCAGCAGTAGCAGTAGCAGCAGTAGCAGCAGCAGGAGCAGCAGTAGCAAGAGCAGCAGCAGGGGCCGAGGGGTCGGGGGGTCAGGAGCAACGAAGGGCCTAGGGGCGACAGGCCGCGGGGCCGAGAACGAAGGGGCCGAGGGGCCAAGGGGAAAAGGGGCCTGGGGCCTATGGGGGGGGGGGGGGGTCGGGCCGCGGGGCCGAGGGGTCGCGAGGGGCCGTGGGGCCGAGGGGCCTAGGCTAGGGGCCACGGTTCGCGAGGGGCCATGGGGCCGAGGGGCCTAGGCTAGGGGCGACGGGGCGACGGGGCCGAGGGGCCAGGGGCGAAGGGGCCGAGGGGCCGGGGGCCTAGGTGCGTCGGGCCGCGGGGCCAGGAACGAAGGGGCCGGGGGCCGAGGGGCCGGGGGCCTAGGGCGACGAGAGGGGCCGCGGGGCGTCTGGTCATGGACGACGGGGGGCCGCGGGGCCTAGGCTAGGGGCGACGGGGCGACGGGCCGCGGGGCCTGGGCCTAGGCTAGGGGCGACGGGTCACGAGGGGCCGTGGGGCCGAGGGGCGACGGGGCGACTGGCCGCGGGGCTTGGGCCTAGGCTAGGGGCGATGGTTCGTGAGGGGCCGTGGGGCCTAGGCTAGGGGCGACGGGCCGCGGGGCCTGGGCCTAGGCTAGGGGCGACGGGTCACGAGGGGCCGTGGGGCCGAGGGGCCTAGGCTAGGGGCGACGGGGGTCGCGACGAGGGGCGACGTGCGACGCCAAGGGGCGACGGGCCTAGGGGCGACTGGCCGGGGCCTAGGGGCCTATGGGTCGCGACAGGAAGTAGGGGCAGCATGAGGGCTGCAGAGGGCTGCTAGCGGGGTAGCGCTGTGGTGGGCCCAAAGAAAAAAAACGGTCCTAGCGGAGGACCTGCTCTGAAACCATGTCAGAAAAATGAACGAGAATGAATGAACTAGCAAAGAGTTGGGCACAAGTCCTAACCCTAATTGGGTTGTTCCCCTTATGGGCTACCCCACTATAGCCTACACAATATAAGCTATATATAAGTTTGACATTATTCACGGAAGTCAGTTGTATTTCTCACCTGGGGCAGAAACCGTCAGTGACGGAAAAACTCGTAAAAACCTACAAAATGAGTATTGATGGCCAAAACTGACCGCGGGAATCGGGCGCGATCGCGTGGCAGGAGGCCTGTAAAAACCACTGCTCATTGGAATTGGAGAAAAGAAAGCACGGCGGTTCGTCATTTCCTCTTCAGGAGTTCTAATTTGTTCACTTGAGGGTTTCGGGATGTACTCTTGGATCTGTACCCGATTTCGCATATGACCCTCTATCTGTACCCTGTTTGGCATATTACCCTCTATCTTATATTTATACCTTGGATGATTTGTTCATGAAGCAACTAGTATTCAAGGTTCCTGTCTTTCAAACATGCATTCACGACGTCCAGAAGTTTTGGCAACATCAAGTCCACTTGATGCAGATTGGATGCAGATGGCAACATCGGATATGACGTTTATTTCTTATTTTTCTAATTTCCCATTGCGACTGGGAAACACGCTCTTTGGATGTCTCCAATGCTTTTCTTTACAAGCGCATCTTCCTTGAGCACCCCGCTGGCTTTCCTCGCCCCCTTTCTCTAGGCAACGTCTGGGAGCAGAAGCACTCTGTTTACGACCTCAAGCAAGCCCCATTCGAGTAGCATGTCAAGCTTGCCTCTACTCATCACTCTCTTGGCTTCTCCGCATCTTGTTTCGACCCCGATCTCGTTCTCAGAACCTCAGCTCGCAGGCTTTACATTATCACGTATGTTGATAATCTGGTGCTGCTTGCTGAGGACTCTTATCGAACTTATCGCTGTCAGAAAGGCCCAGGAAAAAAAAAACCGTACTTTAGGAAATTTACCGTAAAGAATCGTACCGTTAAAAATGGTTTAAGACGGTTCCAGGAGGTATTTTACGTTTGAAGATAAAAACGGTCGATTTATGGGACTAAATTAATGGCGAGGAAGAACAACCATCATACTATATCCTTGCCCAGCACTTTGTAAGTGAGTAAGCCCAGCCAGCGAGCACTCACTCCATCATATCTAGTGAAAGATGCAGCAGAAGGTTTGATATGAACCACCACTGGCTGCCGCTGCACTGCCTGCATGAGCCCCACATATCCCTTGAAGGTGCGCTCAAAGCCCTGGACTGGGTATTTAATTTTCTGGAAAAACGAAGAAGTAGAATGGAGTTTGGGAAGAGCATTTTCAAGTAAATAACAGATTTAGAAAGGCATCACGAGAAGATGAAGGAAAGATATGAGAGAATATGAGGCTGTAATGATCCATTAGGTTTTCAGAGATGATGGGCGCAAATGATTGGCTACCACAAAAGATGACTACAAAAGTTGTAGTTGACACGTGGAAAATAAGATTGAATAGTAACACACTATGTGGCATTGTTAAACATGCTGTACCATTGCAGTACACAGGTTCAATCATTCCACTATTAAATAAATCACAAGAGGTCGACCGTGGGGTTTGATGTCAACAAAGCAGTGGCAGATTTGTGCTTCGGTTTGACAATGACTGCCCTCATTGCTCATAACATACCAGATTGCCTTCCATGGTGATGCCCCCTTTGGGTAGAGCCAGCAGCTTCTCAAAGGCCTCTGTCGGGGAGCCACTAGCAGTGCACTTGGCTGCCTGGGTGGTGAGGCCCATGGATGCAAAGAGTGAGTCCACAGACATCCGCGGCACCTCTTGATTCGTTGCGATACCGTATGCTGCTTCTATGCTCGACACCACGGCGAATGCCTAGCACGCATCTGAAGGGTACAGAAGGAAGGTGGACAGGTGTCGAGAAAGGAGACCAAAGTAAAAAGCAGATCGGAAAGAGAACCTGAAGTTTCGCAAGGAGGTATCCGATTATTATTAGTTTTCCAAAAATAACACATCATGGTGCGCCTAAACTTGATGTGCTCCCTGATTTGAGTTGGCTAAGTACTCACAGCAGCCTTGGTGATCTTTGACAGGCCAGTTGAGGAAAGAAACGGAGTCACAGGAGTGGAAGTCCCTGAAGACCCACGAGTCCTTCTGCCTGGCCGACACTCGGTAGTCCGCACTCACATAGCGCGGGAAGGGGCTCGCCCGTGCAGGCACATATGTGTTCGCTGATATGCTGAGACCATAGGCTGTAGTGAAGGGAGAATAGGTGTGTGCATGTGTGTGTATGTGTGTGAGCATTTGGGAGAGTAGGGACAAGTGTATAGACAGAAGCATGTTCAGGATAGGGAAGGGTCAGCAGGAAGTGATAGATGTAAAGAGTACGGGTTCAGTAGGTATGTACGCAAAGACGAGAAAGCAGCTTGGATCAGCAGGCCGGCTACATTTTGTAGATATCAGGTCAGAAACCATTTAGCGTGAAACAATTAGCCCCTAATGCTTCACGATGTTTATTTTTTTGCTGGCATGCAAGGACTTGCCTGATTTGATGTCCACCGTCCTCCATGCAGGAGGAGTAGCCGCAAGAAAGAAATGAGACCAGGGGAAACTGAGACAAGGAGAAAATGAGATATGGGGGACATGAGATAAGGAGGAAATGAGACAAGGAGGAAGTGACACAAGGTGGACATGAGACAAGGAGGAAGTGACACAAGGAGGACATGAGACAAGAAGGAAATGAGCCAAGGAGGAAATGAGACAAGGAGGAAATGAGACAAGGAGGAAATAAGACAAGGGGGAAATGAGACAAGAAGAAAATGATGCAAGGGGGAAACAAGACAAGGTAACTCTTTTGTACATGTGGAATCCTTGAATTATCAGAGTTATACCAATAAGAGGAAAAAACTCAGTGCATTATAGGTCTCCCCTCCAAAAACCTATTAATGAAAACTACAGTGTGAAGGCACCAAATGAATGATTTCCTATATGCAAGGCAGAGATGAGGCCTATGCACTGTTTCACCGTGTGGACGCATGGGGCCTCAGAGGTTTGATTGGTGGGATATATTACAACGGATCTCCTAGAACCACCAGGGAAACCACCAGCTTTCCACCTACCAGTATGCAGCTCAGAGCTGAGGATGGCTTGCATCGTGAACGGCTTCACTGTGGTGGACGCCACGAAGCCAAAATAAATCGTGCGTGGCAGCGCTGGTAGTGGCTGCGGTGGTCCTGGCTTTAGCACCTCACACAGCGACAACCTCTTCTTCAGCAGCGGCTTCCCCGGCTTCTCTGCTGTGTTTGCCAGGAACACTTGGATGGTGCCGGGGTCTCCAGGTGTATAGTCCACCCATGCCGTGTATGCCTGCTTGTTGGTCAGCTTGAATGGGGATTTCACAGCAGCGATAGACTTGTCCTGGCCCTGAATGTTCAGCCCCATGTGCTCCTCTTTCATGTCCCCATGTGGCTTGTTTTGAAGCACGTCAAACTCAATAGCCATGCTTCGGTCATCCATCCCACCATACCCCACTCCAACACTGCTCCCTACTGTGTTGCTTGCCGAGACCACAAATGCAAAGCCGTTGGAAGCCGCCTTGCCTTTGGGCGATAGGGAAAACGTGAATATAACATTAAACGCCATTTCAAATCCGCAACCCGGGTGATCCTGTCCAAATTCGTACATGAAAAAAGGCACCGGCTCTTTACTGAACATTCCAACCGTCTCTGTTTTCAATCCCGTCGTGAGAATCGTTGATAATGGCAGAATCTCCATGTTGAGTAACGACACAAGGTCTGATTCTGGAATTTCGGGGGAGGGATGGAAAAGAGAATCGGAGGGGAGGTAAAAAAGAAGAAGAGTATAAGAATATTGTGAGAGATCAAATCCTGACAGCTGTAGAAGGATGATGTGCAGTAGAACTCGAAGTAAATCAAAGCTGCACATGCTTGCCTTCCAGCAGCATGTCAAAGCAGAGAAGCTGTTTGAGAGCAGAGATGCAAATGCACGTGCTTCACTAATCTGTGCCTTCTATCCACTAAACCAGGACCCCATTTACCCTCAACAAGACAGTGGGTGCCATGAAACAGGCGGGAATCTGCGTCGCACAAGCAGGTAGGCACCAAGCTAGGCTCGTCAGGATAGCACACCCCTTGCCCAGTGCAGGAAGCATCAAAAGGTATGATCTAGATACCACACGTTTTGGAGAAATATGAGGATAAGCTGGAACAACAGAAAAGGAGATCTGGTTGCAGCAAATGTGTGGCAGCAGTGACAACAGTGGTGGTGGTGGTGGTAGCAGAATCAGAAACCATAGTAGCTGCCGCAGTGGAAACAATGGCAGAAGCAGCCGCCTCCGCAAAAGAAACAGCCGCAGAAGCAGCAGCCACAGCAGCAAGAGCAGCACCATCAGCAGAAGCAGCAGCAACAGCAGGACACGAACAGCAGCAACAGCAAAGTCTGCATGGCAGCAAGTCCGGGGGCGGGGGGTGCAAGGGTTGCATGGTGGCACTCACATTGTGGCCAGACGTGTCAAGCTGCTAAGGGATGGAGGGATGGGCCCAGAGAGCTGGTTGCGGGACAGGTCCCTGGAGACAAGGGGGAAATGGGGGATGGATGGATGAATGGAATCATGGTCGAATGGTGGGTACCCATTGACAAGATGATCAGGTGATGGTGGATATTTTTATGAATAAGTTTACTTGGTGATGTGATGGAGATGGTGGACTGGAATTTGGGTTAACGAGCTGATCATTATTTTGATGGCATATTGGGGTGAAGAAATAAGTGACCGGCCGAAGGGGCGTGCCCGCAGCAGAAGGGAACCAGAACCTTAAACATAGATGAAAATCCTGATTCGTAATTCCACATCTCCTAAATGTTAGTGAATGTTATTAAAAACTTCCCATTAGTCCCTTTTTCATAGGAGGAGCACAAGACGTTACAAAGGTGAACTTTACAAAGGCTGTGCTAGCACAACATGTTTCCAGCAACAGTTACAATAACAGAAGTTGGAGCCCGTAAGTGTTGATCTGGTTTTCCCATATATTTCGTTCTGCATCTATAATCAAGACACGCGATAAATTTACATGACAGCACCGATCATGGTATATGCTAGGAGGACTTACAGGGCTTCCAGGTTTGTAAGAGAGTTAATATCCAAGGAGATCAAGCCATTGAGCTGGTTGTTGCTGAGAGACCTGTATTGGTGAACAGCCCCGAACGAAAAAATTGATAGGCCAATGCGGAAACTTGAAGCGTGCTTTAGAATCAACAGTAAAGGTTGGCTAGACATGTGTGATAGAGGGAGAGGAGAACAACCTGAGGTGGACGTATGCAGAGGGCTTACAAATAGGTGAGATTGATCAAGGAACTGATTTCCACAGGTATGGATCCTGATAGCACGTTAAAGGTCAAGTTCGTATCAGCAAGAGAGGCACAAATGAGGGTGGATAAGTAAGAGTTACGTGAGAGGAGATATAGGTGTGCTTGGCAGTGTAACAATTATGGTGATACCCTTACACTTGTGCAGTGTAAGGTCTAGATACCACACGGTTTAGAGAGATACGAGGATTAGTTGGAACAGCAGAAAAATAGCTCTGGTTGCAACAGAATGTGTGGAGCAGTGACCACAATGGTGGTGTTGGCAGGAGAATCAGAAGCCGTAGAAGCAGCAGCCACAGCAAAAAAAGGAACAGTAGGAGAATCACCAAGAGCAGAAGCAGCAGCAAGAGTGAATGACATCAACAGCAGCAGGCACGGGGGATGCCAGCGTGGCATGGTGGCACTCACAGTGTGACCAGACGTGTCAAGCTGCTAAGGGATGGAGGGATGGGCCCAGAGAGCTGGTTGCGGGAAAGGTCCCTGGAGACAAGGGGGAAATGGAGGATGGATGGATGAACGGAATCACGGACAACTGGTGGGTTGACCCATTGACAAGCCGCTTGGGTGATGGTGGAAAAATGGTTGAGTTAAGGAGCTGATTAGTAGATTGATGGAGCGATGGTGTGAAAACAAAAAAGGCCAGTAAAGGGGGAATTTTCTGCAGAGAAAAAGGGCACCGGAACCTTACCTGAGAATATGCATCCATATTATTTTATCCACTTCCAAGTTTGAGGTAAATTCCATATTTAATTCCCCACAAGCTCTTTCTATTACATATCACACCTGCTTTGGCATCTTATCTCAAGTTGAATTATGCAAAGCTAATGCTAGTTAACAAAAAACTGGATCCCACACATTCTGATCTGCTTTGCTCTCTGCTTTTTGTGCATCTATAATCGATGCACACGCCATATGGAAGGGACTTACACAAAGGGGTATTCTTAAAGGACTTACAGGGGCTTCCATGCTTGTAAGAGAGTTGATAGGCGAGGAAAGTAAGCCTATGAGCTGGTTGCTGCTGAGAGACCTGTAGGGATGAATAGACATGAACACAAAATTTCATAAGCTGATGCGGAGACTTGAAGCGTGCTTGAGAAAAAACAGTACATATGCGTGTAGTGTGACGAATGGACAATATCCTTAGGATGTGCAATGAAAATAATCAACAGGGAATAGAGGGAGCCGGGGGTTAGATCAAGTATGAAAAAATGCAATATTCTCCCTTTCAAATGTAATTCTGCTACACACACATGCACAATAGAGGTGAATGAAAGAAGAGAGCGACAAAGGTGGAAACAAGCCTTGGAGAGAGTGCATGGTCAACATATAGGGGAGGAGGGGGATGAATCTCAGCACTATAGTCTTCCTAGTGTGCAGTGCATCGGATAGCATGTAAGGTATAGAAAGGAGTAGCATGAGCATAGATTCTAGAGTTTGTTAGCCTAATTATAGTATGAGCGCAGGTTTGAACTGGTTTAGCATGCTCTTTGAATGAAGCATGCAAGGGTACCATGGTGGCACTTAGAGTGTGACCAAACGTGTCAAGCTACTAAGGGATGGAGGGATGGGCCCAAAGAGCTGGTTGCGGGACATGTCCCTGGAGACAAGGGGGGAATGGGGGATGGATGGATGAATGGGTAAGAATGATGGATTGACCCGGTAACAAGGTGGTCGAGTGATGGTGGATAATTCAGTTGATGAGTTTACTTGGTGATGTGATGGTGATGGTGAATCATTAACCGGATAGGGTTGAGTCATGGATAGATAGTGAATGGAATCATGGATGCTAAATGGGGGATGGATGAATGAACGGAATCATGGTTGAATGGTGGGGTGACCCATTGATAAGTTCACTAGGTGGTGGTGATGGTGATGGTTTATTCATAATTGGATAAAACAACTGATCATGAGATTGATAGAGTGATGGGGTCAAGAAAAAAGTTGCAGGATAAAGGCCCTTGGCTGCAGGAGAAAGAGAGAAAACCAGAACCTTACTCAAAGATAAGCATCCAAATTTGTGAATCCACATTTCCTTTATTTTAGTTAATTCCATCAAAACATTACATTAGCCATTCATGTGTTTTTCTACTGCATCTATGATCAAGGCACACGCTAAATTAAAGTAAACACTAGTCACTAGTGAACCAACCATGGCATACGCTAGGCCTTATAGGGTTCTTAGGTTAGTAAGAGAGTTGATAGCTGAGGGGATCAAGCCATTGAGCTGATTGTTGCTGAGAGACCTGTATTGTTGAGAAGACATGAATGGCCAGTGCAGAAAATTCATGTCAGAATGTTATATTTGTCTAGCCTGCAGTGGGGTACTCAATAGTGAGTACAGCCCAATTTAGGGTTTGCTATATGTACTCAACTGCTTGCTAGTGAAACCACTTCCTTTATTTCATTCATTCCGTTCACATTCTAACATGCTATCAGAGCAGGTCGACCCTCCCGGGTCGATCCTGTGGATGGGCCCACCCAATGCTTCCGTTGTTGACCTGTCTGTCGCGCGCCCCCTGGTGCGCGACGTTTTTTCTTCCCGCAACGCGCTCCGAGCGCGTGGCGGTTTTCTGCCCGCCGTGCGCCCCGAGGCACGCGGCGGTTTGCTGTCTCACGCGGCGCCCTGGGGGCCCGCGCGCTGCCCTGCCCGTCGCCCGTCGCGAAGCCCTGTGGGCCCGCGCGTCGCCCCCCCCCATCTCGTAGCCCGACGCGACGCCCCGGGGGGCTCGGGCGCGGCCCTCCCGTCGCCCGTCGTGACGCCATCGGGGGCCCGTGCGGCCCCCCCTTCCGTCTCCCGACGTGGTGCCCTCGGGGGGCCGCGCGCGGACCCCTCCCGTCGCCCGTCGAGGCGCCCTCGGGGGCCAGAGCGCGGCCCCCTCCTGACGCCCGGCGTGGCGCCCTCGGGGGCCAGCGCGCGGCCCCCTCCTAACGCCCGTCGTGGTGCCCTAGGGGGCCCGCGCGGCCCCCACCCCAGTCGCCCGTCGTGGCGCCCTTGGGGGCCCGCGCTGCCCCTTCTGCAGCCCACGCTGCCCCTTTTGCAGCCCGCGCTACCCCTACTGCAGCCTCTGTACCCCCCGTGCCGCCCCTGTGTCCCGCTCCTGCCACGTGCTGCCTGTGTTCGGGTTTGGGGGTGGCGCGTATGGGGGTGTCTAGTGTGTGCGGAATCCCCTGCTCCTCCTCCTCCGCTGTCTCCCACTGCTGCAGCTGCCGCTGAGGGGGGTGGATGTGTGGGAACTGTCGGAGTAGTACTACGGGGGGGT